CCACTCATCATACACCACTCATCATACACCACTCATCATACACCACTGATCATACACCACTCATCATACACCGCTCATCATACACCACTCATCATACACCACTCATCATACACCACTCATCACACACCTCTCATCATACACCACTCATCATACACCACTGGTGAGATGACTCAGATTTCGTAGCAGGCACAGCACTTTGTGAACCTCCATGTGCAGATTTCGCGGCAGGCGCAGCACTTTGTGAACCTCCAGGTGCAGATTTCGTGGCAGGCGCAGCACTTTGTGAACCTCCATGTGCAGATTTCGTGGCAGGCACAGCACTTTGTGAACCTCCAGGTGCAGATTTCGTGGCAGGCGCAATACAAAATGCGTTTTGGAGAGATAGCGGACGCACGAAATGCTGTATTTTTCCAATAGAACCGGTGGCTTCAAACCTGGCAAGTCTAGCTCTGCGGAACGACGGGTGCGCGACGGTCTGGGGTCATTCTCGGGCATGGTCGGAATCGTCCCTCCATTGGGATTAGAGTTTTCACTTGTTTCTTGAAGTGCAGATTTCGTGGCAGGCACAGCGCTTTGTGAACCTCCATGTCCAGATTTCGTGGCAGGCGCAACATTTCGTGGCAGGTGCAGCACTTTGTGAACGTCCATGTGCAGATTTCGTGGCAGGCGCAACACTTTGTGAACCTCCAGGTGCAGATTTCGTGGCAGGCGCAGCGCTTTGTGGAGCTCCATGTGCAGATTTCGTGGCAGGCGCAGCACTTTGTGAACCTCCAGGTGCAGATTTCGTGGCAGGCGCGGCGCTTTGTGAACCTCCATGTGGAGGTTTCGTGGCAGGCACTGCTGAGAACTGGCGACTTTCTAGTACAACTTTAGTACGCGGAGCAATCTGTAGAGCTGGAAGCTGAGAACTCACGACTTTCTAGTACAACTTTAGTACGCGGAGCAATCTGCAGAGCTGGAAGCTGAGAACTGGCGACTTTGCAGTGCAACTTTAGTACGTGGAGCAATCTGTAGAGCTGGAAGCCGAGAACTGGCGACTTTCTAGTGCAACTTTAGTACGCGGAGCAATCTGTAGAGCTGAAAGCTGAGAACTGGCGACGTTGTAGTACAACTTTAGTACAACAAATTGCAGCTGCCCAGTTGCTTCAGCACGCCGGTGTGGGCTGCTGATCTTGCTTTGCCATAGGCACACAACTGACACAACCCAGTACGCTGTTGTGAGCTGCTGATCCTGCAGGAAGCACAGACCTTGCACAGGTGGCGCTGTGTTGATCAAAAGTCCGGGGCGCGTGCGTTTGACTGGGGGACGCGCGTGTTTGAGAGAACCGGAACACTCCTATAGGTCAACTTGTTCTTATAGGAAACTTCCGCCGCCGGCTTGCCCAGGAACTGCTTGTATGTATACTGCTTCATCAGCTAGGTTTGTCGGAGTAACCTATATATGTGGCTAGTGTTTGATGCTCAGGTGAAGGTTGGAGATGCAGACATCGCAGAAGGTTGGGGCTTGGAGTTACATGAGCTTGTCAAGGTTTTTGCCTCCTTTCCGTATTTTGAGTTCTTGCTTTTGGCAGCAAAATTCGTTTTAGACACAAGACTAATCATAGAATGTGCAAGGCATGCAGTACTCAGGGTACCTCTTAACAGCGGAAGTCTTTTTTAATACTGTAACAAAGTCCACATGTTAATTGCGAAAATGAATCTTGTAGTTGCGAAGTGACACGCTGATTGCCACCGCATGGCTGAGTCAACTGCCTCAACATGGCAGAGCTGGGTCTCTGCCAACACTCACGTGGCGGGTATTGAATTCTCATCAGGTCCAAAAAGTTATATAATGCGAGGGATGCACCATTCATTACCCAACTGCTTCCACCACAAAGGCCACTTGGGAGCCATTGCTTTGTGCTTCTGGCACCCGAACAATAACTTTGTCTTTGCCGCTTCACATCAAAGACATCCGTAGTGGCAAAGGCCCCCCTCAAAGTGAATTCGGGCAGCCTAAAAAACAAATTTGGAGGGGTCTTTGGTGCTTCGCATCCTTAAGACACCCGCAGTTTCAATTGAACGAGTTTTCGCAATTGAAAACCACAATTTCGCAATTATGGATTTGCCTGCTTTCGTATTATGTAAAGGGCACCCTCTGCAGTACTCAGCTAAATTTGTTGGTCTGAGCCGAGTGCGCAGGCGATTTTGCAGGCGGCGCATTGTTTGCTGGACCAGATATCCCTTCTCTGGAAGGTGGCCGTGAAGTGAATGCTCGGTCCAAAGATGGTGCGACGGAAAAGAGTGAGCTCAGCAAGATCTTTGGTGAATCCGTTTGACAGAAGCATCAGCAGTGCTGCGGTTTAAGGTACTGGGGGAAGTGTTCCATTGATTGTGTTTTGTCCACTTGGAGTCTTCCCAGCATTTGGGTTGCCTTTCCAACCGTTGAAATGTTGGCTCATGTCACCTTCACCTCCTTCCCTCCCGCCCAAGGTTGCCATGTTCAACAAGAAGCGCACCAAGCGAGGTGAAAACCAGACTCTTTTGTGGAGATGTTAGGAGTACTTTGCGAGATCAAAACAAAAGGCCAAACGTACCTGATTTTTTGTGTCCAGAAACAATGTGTGAAGGTGCGGTGGCTGTTTTCTTTGCTTGGAACTGTCCACCTTAGTGCCACTGGCAAGTCCAGAGGGTTGGCAACTTGTTGGGGAGGGTAGAGATGGCAAGCGCATATTCCACAAATTGCCAAAGACTTCTATATGCATCCGTATGCTTGTTGGGGAGTTTCAGTTTGCCCTTCATAGTACAGCATATGTGTTCTCGCTTCCGAGCGGCCAGACCGAAGCGAGGGTTGGACAAAGCGTAAGAAGTTCCGCAGCTGCACGGAACTCAAAAATGTAATTGTATACATGTACCTCAAGTCGCACCAAAACTGTGCTTGTTTTGCTTGGTGAACAGGGCCGCAGTATTTCTTGAGGAATCCTGTCAGTTCACTTGAAATACACTTGCCGAGGATAGAGCAAGCAATCACACAGCAAAACGAATTTCCAGCTTGTGAGAATCAATTAGAATCAATTCATATCAATTCAGGCAGCCAAGCTACCAAGTGCTCAGGTTCATTGTTGGCGCGTGCTGCGACTAAGAGTGGCCGCAAGGCGCGATAGATCACCTTAATTAATTCTGTCAGCCTGCTTTATGCACAGTTGATCGGTTTTTGCGTGTGGGACAGCATAGATTAAAATAATCGAATCTCACTTCAAGAGCTGTTTGACGGCCTGATCAAAGTCCGGCAAGCACAGATTTGTCTATCAGACGTCAATACAGCTTCCAGATCCCATCTTGATTATCCATGTGATTATTTGCGCTTGTCTCCTTCTGTCCTTGTGCCCCAGATTTTAGCACGCAAGATGTGGCGTGGGAAGCACGATCTTGGACCTGGAGATTACTGCAATTACAAGATGGGCAAGGCGTGCGGCATTTTTGGATCTGGGTGTTGTTGATGATGTTGCAGGACCGAAGCTCCAATCTAGCTGTACAACACATGCCTTTGAATTGTACATGAGTTATTGTGGCGGTTTGGCCTACACTCAGTTCTTTAGATAAGACTCCGTAGCAAACTTAGCATTTTTTAAAGGACGCCCTGGTGGTTTGGACCTTGATTAGTCATTAGCACTTGAGGTGGGTCGACTTGGGGTACTATGAATCTGCCCCAAGTCATCGCGGCCAGCCGGCTGCATGTTTTGATAGATGTTGAGACAGGGTACAACAGCGCTGTTGACCGCGTGTTGCCAGGACATTCCACTGACAGATTTGATGGTTCCACCAAACAATTGTCAAAGTATTATGTTTATTTGTCATACATATGTTGTCAGACATGCACCACGTCCACTCATGCCTCATTTCAGGTTCACGATACCGCCTACTAAGGCTCAGTTTCCTCTAGAGGAAAACGGTCGCGCCGGGCGTCCGTGTTGTTTCATGGTTGCAGAGCCACCCGGGGGCTCGATAAACATACCCCTTGGAAGAAGTGAAAGAGGACCTTTGGGACAGGCTGTGAAAGCCTGAAGGTTATGAAAGAAGAAAAGAAGTGAAGAAAAGAAAGGATGGACCAGGAGACGCTACAAGCCCTGGTGCTGCCAGTCAGCTGCAGCAGCCGTTGAAGCGGCTTGGTTGTTGAGAGAGGAGACAGAGAAAGGAAAGGCCCAAGGATTTGGCAGTGCAAGCAAAGCGTTGAAGCAGCCAGAGGTGGTCTCACCAAAGAAAAGAGAAGAGGAGATCTCACAGTGGCAGGGTTGGGGGTTGACCTTTCGATCATGGCTGACCTTTGCTGATAGCAAGTATGAGGCAGACCTGGGTTCCTGGATGATGCAGAGAAGGCTACAGGGCCTATGGGCCTATGGAGTTTGTGGAGATGGACCAGGACAGGCATACACATTCAGAGCAGTTGCATAGTATCTTGGCTGGGCTCCTTCGACATCGGCCGTTGAAGATCCTCAGGTCAGTTGAAGGGAGGAACGGTCTGGAGGCTTGAGGGCAACTGTCAAAGCAATTCATGCCAAAGACAAGACCCAGGACGATCGCAATGCTGCAACCTACTTAGCACATCCCAGTGCTCACAGAGACAAGGGTTTGGGGATTTCGGAGCAGTTGTTGGGACGTGAACGGTTGGCGGATGAGTACCATGCCATCTCAAATCTCAGGCGAAGAGATTGCCCAGAACACCCGGATATCAGCTCTAGCACTTCAGTGCCATCAGGAGCAGCAAGCACGGCAAGCAAGCACTCGAGCGCAACCAAGAGTGAAATGAACGCGATGGCAAGAACAGTTCGAAGGGTTAAGACAATGCTTTTGTGGACTTCTTTGAGGAGAAGAGGAAGCAGTAGTGAGCATGGGGAGTGAGGCGTGAGATCTCATTTACAGCGATGAAGACACTGATTGGGTGATCGTCAAAGAAGATGAGATGGAAGAGGAGAACGAAGCCAGGATCGAGGACTACATGCGGGGTGTTGCGCAGGCAGAGGATTGCAGAGTTGTCCTGGATACAAGTGCAGATGTTTCGGTGTTGCCCATGGCCCTTAGGAAATTGGATTCCACTGTCAAGGAAGAGCGCGTTAAGAGACGCGCAAGGGAACGTCACAGGTAGCGGCGCCATCCGCCAGGCCATGGTTGCGCTTAAAGGTGAAGATGGGCATCAAGTACATCTTCGAGAGAGCTTTGCTTTGTCGAATGTTTCTGAACCTGGAAGCTTGAGGGCGCCGATGACAATGTGACGTTGGCGCGCGCCTTGTTTAGCAAACAATTGAGCTTCAGACACAATTCGCTGGTCGCAGAGGCAAAGATCAGGAAGGTCCACGAAGAGAAGCTCAAAGTTGCGGTGAGAGGCGCAAAGGGAAGAGAGCAGGTGAGCACTCAGTCGCCTTTGACGGACTCTCGAAGAGCTTTGTTGAGGTGGCTGGATGGCGTTTGTCACCAAGCAGGCGAACCCCGTTCTTGGTTTGCTTGAACGTCCAAGAAAGACAGCTACCCACAGTTCGACCGGGTGGACTTCCCTTACAGGACGGTGGCGATCAAGAAGGGTGCTTCGTGGGAGCTGGTGGAGACTGCAAGCAGGGCACAGGTTGAGGACGACCAGGAAGAGTGTGAGACAACCGCTGTTTGCATCAGTCTTCAGACACAATCGCCCCGGGCTAGCGCCTGCGGAAGAAGAGATTGAAATAGAAGGAGAAAGCTACGAGAAGACTTCAGGCTATACGAGCAGGCTGGAAGAAATGCGGTCTTGGTAGGGGGAAGAACAAAGAAGTAGCTTGGTCGATGCGCTGCTACTGCACCGCTACACTCACTCTGCAGAGAACTTGGGCACGCCTGCGAGAAAGGCAGATTAAGGCGAAGAAGCAAGAGGACAGCTAGCACCGCGAGTTCCAAGCAAAGCTGAGAGGCAAGTTCACGAAATTGACGCGCTGGCCTTATAGGATTTGGTGTGAACATTGTGCTGCAGCAAGGGGCAAAGAGAACCCACACCTCAAGGAGCAGAACCCGGTCAGGCAGTAAGGCAAAGCAGCTACGCCTACCATCTCGATGGATTTCGCCTCACGAAGGGCGAAGGTGGAGTTGATCAAGAGACAAAAGAAGACCTGAGGATATTCCAGGATGACTTTGCGGAGGTGTAGCTCTTGTGGGGCGCTGATGACTGGTCGCGAGCAGTCTTGTCGGCCCCACTCCAGGCAAAGAGGGCGCACTTGAAGTCACAGGGTGAACAAGTTCTTCGATTCGTTGGCAGCCTGGGATATTATTCTCGAGTGGGTGTCAAGTGAACAGCATCTTCTTGTGGGCGCGTATACGTCTTGCAGGATGGTTGCTCACACACTACAGGAGAAACGGCGGCGGTCCAACGGAGCATGACGAGACGAGGAGCGGAAGAAAGTACGTTGGAAAAGTTGCCATGTTTGGCGCGCGTGTTTTTGCCCATGTGAGAGGAGCAAATGGCAATGACAAGTTTGAAGTTGGTTGTTGGCTTGAAAAGACAGACCAAGCAGATTTCCACACGGTGGCTTTAGCCAGAAGATTGATGCGGGCAAGAACAATCAGGAGATTGCCCACACTGTTCGGGGCGGAGGCTCTACACTTTGTGAAGGTGTGGCCATGGGCCATTGGCTTGGCGCAAGAGTATCGGCTTTAATGGCAAAGTTTCCAACAGCGAAGTTACCGCTAGCATTGGCTCCAGCATTTCGAGCAGAAGAACGTGAAGAAACCAGATGAGAAAGAGAGGCAAAGAAGAGAAGCCAGATGAGGAGGAATTGGACGCCTTGAGAGACTTCGAGCAAGAATCAAAAGCCAGGCAGGGCAATGGAACATGAGACAGCTTCAGATCCTTCAGCAGGTGAATACACACCAAGCGTTGCGAGCGGTGGCAACATGGAGATCGGAGATGACGCGTTGCTACAAGACTTGTTGGACAGCTTGGAGAAACACTCAATACGCGAACCAGGTGATTCGGGAGGAGAAAGATCAGGATGTGAGAATCCTTGACGGTTCCAGTTCATCCACCTGAGGACCCCGTGACATTGGCCGAGATCGAGGATGAAGGTGCAAAGGAAGTCAAGAGCTGGTCAGCGTGGGTGTGAGAGGAGTTGGCTGGGATTCCGCTTGTAACCGCCAAACTGGTCATGGACTGGCGATGGCGGCCGCAGAGATGGAAACGAAGAGCGGGGTTGGTTTCCAGGGACTATGCCTGGCAGGATCCAAACAGGACAGATGTGTTTGCTCCAGCAGGAAGTCAGCCACTGCTTCGGATGTCAAAGATGCGTATCTCATGTGTAGTCAGCCAAAGAAAGTGAAGGTGTGGGTAGCGCGTTAGCAGAACAATTTAGATCCTTGGAAGGGTGTTGCCTGGACAGCGTGAAGGGGCAGCACAATGTTTTCAGGAGCTGAAGTGGACGTTGAAGAAGGGAGGCCCGGAACCATGCCCAGAAGCGCCAACGCTTTGAAAGAAGGTGTCGTCTTGCTTGTCCATGCTGACGACGTGATCATTGGAGTTGAAGGTCAGGCGACGGCGCAACTCATCGATCGCCTCATGAAGTTGTAGAAGGTGTCAGTGGGAGAGGGGCAGTCGCTTCCTTATAAGAGAACCTTCACGGTCACCAGACTCACAGAGATTGCAGTCGACAGCAAGTACATTGAAGGCCTGTTGAAGTTGCTTTTGAAGTTTGGAGGAGTGAAGCAAGCAAGAGCATTGGCCATGGACATTGACGACACAAAGATCAGTTTGAACATTCTTGCGCGTTGCAGGTGACAGACCTGACATTTAGCTTATGGCAAAGAGCTGGCAGGAGAAGGAGAACCAGGAGGCAAGACAGAGGTTGAAGTCAGTGAGAAGAATGGCACAAGGAGAAGGAGGCATTCCAAAAAGTGAAACAGCAACGTGCCAGACTGCACAGAAGTTGACAAGTTTGACTCTAGGAGCTTTGCTGGCAGACCCGCGGGAGAGGAAGAAGGAGGACAACGCATGGCCAAGACGATCGTGATCCTTTGCATGGTCGTTCTTGCGTTGCTGATTGGAGGGGGAATCCTTATGGGGGTGCTTTGGAACATGGCTCAAGAGTTGTTGAGTTTCCGCAACACGCGGGAGTACTTGAGGCACACAATGAGGTCAAGCAGC